CCCGGCAAGGGCATGGAGAGCGCCCCGCTGTGAGGGGAGCCCGCGCCACCCCGTGAAAGGCATGGAAGCACCCCAAACCTCCCATGTCGCCCTGTGAGAGGCATAAAATGCCCCCCCAGACCCGCGTCCGCTGTGAGGGGAGCCCCCCTGCACCCCCTTCCCACCCTGCCCTTGTCCCTGCAGGGAGGGGAGGGGAGGAGGGCAACAAGGAACTCGCCCCCGAGCCCCGCTCCTGCTCAGGCTTTCCATGGCTCCCCTGCCCCCAGCGCGGGCTGCATGTCCTCCCATTAACCCTGTGCAGCGACGACAAAAGCTCAACTCCGCTCGGGCTCGAGCCTCCTGCCGCCCGCGGCCAGCGCCACAAGCCTCGCGCCCTCCCGCGGAGGCTGGGCTGGGCTGGGCGCGAGGAGGCCGAGAGCCGCTGGTGCTTGTGGGCCTCGCCGTGCTCTCCCCACCCCCTCTCCCGCCCCATCCCCCACTGCAGCGCCCTGCGCGAGCATCCCTCCCGTGCAGGCTGGAAGGGGAGGACAGGAGCGCTGATGGGTTTCTCTCAGCCTGGCTGTGTTTCTCCCCCTCCAGCTTCAGGCCCCCTCCTAGGCCCTGAAAGGAAAGCTGACGACCCCTCACATTTTCTTATTCATGACAAAGGTTGTTTTATAGATACGTGTATATATATGCCAGGTTGTGCTTTAAAGGTTTCAAAACATTTGGCTGTATAAGAAGTCCTTGAGGCGCGCCTGTTTTGGCCTTAAAGACTTCCCCCCCCCCCTCCCCCCTGGATCAGGGAAGGTCAGTTTAACCCCCTTCTGTTTTGAAACCATTCCTCGTTTTAGGAGGAAGCTTCAGTTTTCGAGTCATGGCTGTGCCCGATGTGTGATGGAGCGGGTTTTCGGTCGGTGCGGCGGTTAAACCAGACAGTCGCGCGCGGTGAGGAAGAAGAGCGCTTCGGAGCTGATTAAAGTCATGTAGGAGTTAATGCGAGACTCGCAGGGCATGCAAAGCAAGAGAGAATCTTTAACCAGCTCTGCTGTTCCTTCCACATACCACAAACTTGGAAAGCGGAGATGTGAGCCTTCGATGCTGCAGCAGGAGACTCGTGTAATTGCATCGCAGGTGGATGCTTACTCATTTCATGTGTTATCATATTCAGAGTACCTGCGAGTTTATCTAGGATTTTTTTTTTCTCCCTCTCCACTGGAGGCGTGTTGCGAGACTTCATCTTGGTCGAGCTTTATTTGCAACAGTTTTGATCTCCCCCACCACCACCCTCGTAGTATCGCATCTGTTTTATTTCGCAGATTGGCCTGTGCTGGGGGCAGAGTATTTGTGGAAACATCCTAGTTTAGGAACTTTCTGCCTGGGGAACCTGTTGCCAGAAGAGATGAGATCAAAGCCCAGCCTGACTGTATTTAGGCCTAGATGTAAGACCCACCTTTTTAAGAAAACCCCAGGAACTGGATGCTAATAATTAAACAAAAATAAAACTCCTTCACTGCATACACCCCACTTCCACAGCAGTGAACCATTTTTGTTATGCCTCTTCAGACTTCTTTATTTTGTGTAGTGCTGGGTATCAAAGCAAAAATTGACCTAGGAATGCCTAAATAGTATAAATGACTTTATAACTTACTTACTGAAGAAACTGTGTCTAGTCCCCAACAGGAAATACTCTAATGAACATTTTAATCAAGAGGACCAAAGGTTTTATGCCTCCGCTTCTCCCAACACCTACTTTTCTGTAAGTTTCTTATTCAAATGTTGATCCTCTTTCAGTATATTGATCAAATATTTATTAGTATCTCTAAGATTTATTCATCTTTATAGAGAGAATGGAGTCTGTTTACTAAGATGGTGTCGTGATGTTGGGGAAATATAATTTAAAAGGAGTAAAGGGAAGTTTTCTTATAGACTCCATGTTCTTTGTATTCATTGTTGGAAAGGTATGCTATAGGAAATGGAAGTGATAAATAAGTTTAATGTTAAGGAAAAGCTTTGTAATAAGAGGGTGCTTTTGGGTAAGAGGATCTGTTTGAGTTTTTTTTCAGATTAAAAGAAGAAAAAACTAGGAGTTCTTCCACCATTTGTAAAAATATTTTGGTTCAATATTCTTTCAGGGAACTGAAATTTGATTCATCTAGTCTGCCCATGAACATCTGCTGAATAGAATTAAAAAGGCTATGACTTTAAGTTCAGTTATGTTGATATGGTTGAGCTGGAATTGGCCAAGGCAAAGAAGTAAATTAAATGTGTTTGTAAGTAATTACTCATTTTTTTTAGATAATGAGCTTGAATGTATTTTCAAACGACAGGAAAAACTTCCTTCCTAGTTCTTAAGCGGAGATCCTACAGACTTTAAAGTGGACCATGGATTCCTACCCCTTTGCATCTGTTTAACTCTGATCAAAAATTTGGGGGGGTAAATTTTCAGGTTTTAATGTGTAATGGGAATGTTTTGGGGGAGGCTTGTTCTTTCCATGACTTATTTTTATATAAATAATGAATGCAACGGGACATTTCCCAGCAATATGGTCAGTTGCTTATGCTTGTATCTCACCCACCTGCCTTCAGTTCTTTTTCTATAAATACAGCCTCTTTGACTATCCATAGAAAGTATTTCTTCTGTGTCTCCTACATGTGGCAATGTTTGTGGATTTCTTTCCCCTTTGTATTTATTTCCCTTTCTTTTGATGGCCTTTCTGCAGTCTAATGTTCTTTTTCTAAGCATGGGGGCTGATGAATACTTCAGCTAGAAATTTAGGTCATCCATGATGGGAGGGAGAAAGGGAGAGCTAAAGTAAAAATCCATTTTTTTTTTTTCAATTTCCTTCATTTCCATTTTTTTAAAAGATTTGTCAATTTGAAATCTCTTTCTGTTTTGTTTTTTCTCTCTCCCTCTGTATAAACTAGGACTATATATATGTTGTGAAAGCTGTTTAGGGCAAATGATACTGTGATTTCAGAATCAACCTAAGGTGGGGGGGGGTGGGGGGGAGAGAGAGAGAGAGTGTGTGTGTGTGTGTAGTTTCTCTCCCATCTTTACTAGCCTTTCCACTTTCACACCTGCTTTGAGATTTAATCATTCAAATGACAGGTCCTGGAAAAAGAAAAGAAAAACCTTTTCTCATCTGGAGTTAGATGGATTTACCATTATTAATTGTGAATGGACTTGGGTGACTTAATGATTTTTATACTTAAGTCTTAACTCTTCAAGAGATTTCTAGATCGGAGGAAGGACCATAAACAGAGTTCTTAAAATGCTACAGTAGCAGCATTTGAAGAGCTCTGTTTGTGGCCCTTCCTCCAATTTAGAAATCTCTTGAAGAATAATTTTTGCAAGTAAGGCTTGGACTAGAATTGACCAGGTTGAAGAGACATCAAGGGTACACAACTCTTTGGTGGATCAGGTCCCTACTCTGTGACACTTTTTTTCTATAATAAAAATGATATACAGTGCCTTTCATCATAAAGGTTTCCTAAGTATTTTATTAAAATAACAAAAAACAATAGCACAGAAGTTAAGGTTTTTATGCATTCCCTGCATGGATCTCCACTATTGTGAAAGTTTGCCTTTGGGTGAACTCTGAACTTTGTAGAAAACATTGTCTTACAGTCCCTCACCCCGAGGTTATGAACAGGGTCATGGGCCCAACCACTGTTTTGAACCTTCTCGCTGATATGGGCAGCAAGTGGGAATACATCAGTTGCTACTTCTATCACCTGCCTTCTAGGAAAATGCATATTATCTCTTATTAGCTTAGTTTAGGTTACTAAACCACATTTTGTTCCACTTTTCCTATCAACCCTGCCCGATTCTGTACACTGAATGGGATAATCAGCTTGGCCTGACCTGGTTATATCAAAAATACCATTGTAAATTCAGCTGTCAAGTCCTGGACTTAATTTCCTTTTGTTCAGAGAGGAGATTCTCTCTTATCTGA